AGGACCAGGAATTAAATAATAATTTTCCTGGGGAGTAAAGCGCGGCTGGCGCCCAAGGCAGACAACCTTACCGCCATCTTTGAGCCGATTGTCTAGATAATGTGGGACCCTCAACGTCTCGCATCCCTATGGGCCTTCACGGCCTGGCACAGGAATAGTTTTACTTTACTTTTACACCGTTCACATTAAATCTCAAGCAGACATAGCAGTAGAGATCTCTACTACTGTCATAAGTTAAAAATTTACATGNGTTCGGTTGTTGCTGAACGTGTGGTTTGTGTAAGTTTGTTATACTAACGCGATTAATACAGATAAGCTTAAAACAGTTTCTTGTTAGCTACAGACTTCAAATCGGGTGTAATAGATTATGCTAAGGGATATGGAAAGTGAGCAATTTGGGTGAACCTTCGTGCCTCGTTCTGCACTATAATTCTGTTTCGCAAGTGCAGTTCTGTTAGTGTACAGTGCCACGGAGTGCTGGTTGCGCAGGGAGGCTGGCAAGTCCAGCGTCACGCCCATGCTTCTCAAGGTGTGTGGGGATCAGTCTGTGTGTTGGACAGGACGAGTGTCGAGATTTTAAACTATATATCTATTTATCTATGGCTCTAGAGCCTTTCTGGACCTTGGCCGCCTTTTCAGTTTCTGTACACAGTCGGTAGGACTCCTTGGACGGGGGATTAACCCGTCGCAAGGCCGCTATCTACACACAGAACAACACAAGCACAGAATAAATGCACAGAGACATCCATGCCGAAAGTGGGATTCGATCCCATGATCCAAGTTTTCTAGAGGGTGAAGCCGGTTCATGCCTTAGATCGCGCGGCCACTGAGCTCGGCAACATGGATGCACTGGCACGGATAACAACACGGACTGTTATAAACCGCACATATTACATAAACCTTGGAGTAAAACTGTGCATAGACAAACGAAAGATATGTCTAGTGTTGTTGGCAGAAACCGCTCTGCATGATGTTACATAAATACATCTTAATAGCTTCATAGCTATACATCTCCTTCGACTATGTATACGCAAGTTCACGGTCATGGTAACGTCTCTGGCCTGTTACCATTCAGAATTAATGGGTCAGAAGTCACAGTAAGGCAATACATAAATATTGTGGTTAATGGAAGTTTCAATTATGTTCATGCATTTTTTTTATAAAATGCACCTTCTAGAATAGTGATCGGTTAAAGTAAACAATATTATATTTTTAATTATTAATTACTTACAGCTCAGTAATTTAAAAAAACCGCATATTTCTGAGCCTGGCAGCATTAAAAACACTGAGTTACAGTCGTCTACCTTTTTCGAGTATGCGGTATGGGTGAAGCTGCGGTATCTAGGCGCATATCAGCTACAACACAACACTAGCAGCCCTGACGATAACGGAGCCAGGTTCCCCCCTCCGCTCACTGTGACGAAACAGCTAGGTCAGATTACTCACTATCGCAGCTGACAGTGAATAATAAATTCCAATGACTACCGCAGCAGTGCTTGGCGACAAGTCGGCTTTTGTTACTCCCGTGTGCTTCTGGTAGTAGCGTCCACGCCCAGAACTTTGCTGGGGTCAACTAGTCCGGTGTCCAACCGTTAAATGTCGGAACTTTCACCGTGAGCAAAATCGGCAGAGGTTAGCTTGGCGGTAACGGTCTATAGTCCATTCGCGGAGTCGAGACAGCGTAAAAAAAAAGCAAGCCCCGCGTCGCCACAGCTGACAGCAAGGAGTGGACAAAGCGCACAGTTACTGCGGTGTACTCACTGCATTCGGACGTACGTTAACCTGCATTCAGACTGAAGAGTGAACTTTGGACGCCCCTGCAACGATACATGCCTCACGTGATCGCTGCATGATTTCATTCAAAGAGCGAAGGAGATACCGCGTGTATTTGTTTACGAGGACTCTCTCGTCTCCGCGAATGGATTGTAGTTTTGTATTGACCGATACCCGGTTCGTATTTTGACGGGCTGCTAGCTATCCTGCCGGTCGCAGTGGCCGCGCGTTCTACCACATGAAATATCATCGCTCGCTCGAACAGTGGGATCGTCGATTCGAATCCCACTGAAGGCATGGATGTCTGTGTTTATTCTGTGCTGTTAGGTAGCGGTCTTCCGTCGGGCTCATCCCCCGCCGAAGGAGTCGTACCGACTCTCTTAGATTAAGAAACTGAGGTGAAACAAAGTGTTTCACGGATGCCCTGTGCTCCAAGTGGAAGCAACAGGAATGGAAAAAGGAGAACCCCTGTCCATCACTAGTCATCATAACAACGAACATTGGACACGTTCAATTTAGCTGACAAAGTCACAACGCACTTCTCTGAGATTCATTCTGATACTAGGTAAAAAGGTAAAGTTGTCCCCGTGCTTAACTAATTAAGCACTACGCTATGAAGGCGTATGGGGGAGTATACGTATAGGTCCACATTTTCTTGACCTCGGCCCTAGTTGGAGGTGAGTGGTAAGCTTCACGCCCCTGCCGGTTTACCCTCGGTACCCATTGTATTGGAGGCTGGGTGAGCCGCAGAGTAGGTGTGGGCTGCGTGGAAAAGAGAAAAGCTTGACCTTAACGGGACTCGAACTCCGACGCCTCGGTCGTCCAGCCCGTAGCCAGTCGCTATACCCACTGCGCTATCCCGGCTCATCATTCTGACACTCTCGCCCCTTTATTTCCTGATAACGTAAGCTGTCTCTTAACGAGGTTTCGCTACCGAACCTTCCTACTGACTGCTTACTTCGTATGTCTGGTCCATCGGGACGTCAGACGAAGGGTAGGAGTTATCCCGCTTCTAGATTCCCCTCTTAGGTCATCTCCCTTGCATGAGGATTACATTTCTTATACATTTAATGTGACTTCAGAATTTAAATATCGTTAGGAAAGGAACTATATATCAAATTTAATATTATTTAAATTAAAAGACGAGAGTAATTTGTAATGTTGCAGCATAGTTACTGCAAATCCTTCGCCAAGTATCAGCTTGCCTGCAGTGCCGATCACCAACAGCTGGAAGTGTACAGAGAGGCTATGATTAGACGATTAAGAAGACGAAAAAGAAAAATACGTTGATATAATGAATACGGTGATTTCTGAATACTTATCGCCGCACCCTGAGACATGCGATAGCCTTGACAAGGCCGCAAGTTATCACTTCCTCAGTCGATCTGGGACTTACATCTCCGAACTGGTTACAGAGTTCATTCATTCATCAATGGCTCTACAGCCCTTTGTTGGGCCCTTGATTCCTCTTTGGTTTCGTAATTTTTTTTTTTTTTTTTTTTNTTTGTGTGCTGTTGCTTCTTTCTTGGTTTTTGATTTTTTTTTTTTTTTTTTTTCCACAGACGGCAGGACTCCTTGAACGGGTGATCAGCCCGTCGAAAGGCCGGTACCTACACAGAGGATAACACAGGCATCAATGCCTTGAGTGGGATCCCAGAGTTCGAGCGTGCCAAGACACTTCCTGCAGTGCGTCCACCGTGACCGGCGTTTACAGAGTAAGATAAGTATTTCCTCTTTATGTTTAGAAGCAAAGAATTAATCAGTGGAGTAAAGTACGAGGGAAAATGTGGTATTTGTATTAAATAAGTGTGTCTATTACTGGAGCGTAGGTGGGAGGACAATATTAAAATGGATCTTAGAGGGATAGAATGGGATGGTATGGATTGGATTGATCTGGCTCAGGATAGGGACCAGTGGAGGGCTCTTGTGAACACGGTAATGAACCTTCGGGTTCCATAAAATGCTGGTAAATTCTTGAGTAGCTGCAGAATTGGCTCCTCAAGAAGGGCTCAGCTCCATGAGTAAGTAAGTCTATTCCTGGATGTTAATGCAGTATCATTTTTATCAACAGGACAATAATTGAAGAGTACTACCTTACGGGATATGGCGCATTGCAGCCTGATAGAAGTTTAAAAATATTTCGATGAATGTGTTGTCTGTATCTTCAGGAAGGAAAAAATATAAAGGCTTCAACTTTTCTAACCTGAAGTTGGAGACAGTACGTTCCTCAGATGTGTCGGCGAACCTCTACCAGACTGCATGATGTTCATCCCAAAAAGCAATAATTTTCACATGACTGCCATGAGAACCTCAAATCTTACAGTTTCCTGTTTCCGGAACACCCACTGATTCGATATGGGGAATACGTCCAACTGCACAGATACCGTAAAGCGTGACATTTGCGTTCACGGATCACTGACAACATAGGTTCACTTCAAAAGAACCAAAGATCATAGACTTCTGATTCAATTGCTTATCTGATTACTTGCAGTAATCTACTCACAGATTCTTGATACGCGCTGTCTAACATTACGTAAGATGTTTGCTGACGCCTGGATATTCACAAATCTAATATATATATATATATATATTTGAGGTTCTCAGCGTGGTGATTATGAACGTTACCATCTTTTGGGATGAGACGCAGAGTAAGTAACAGATATTTACCGACATGTTGGAAGAAATTTCTACCCTCAGGATGGAGGCAGCAAAGGCCTCCGAAACGCTGGTTAATATTTACCAAATAATATAGGTCACACCCGTGAAGATGGCACTATTTTTATGTTTCGATCTGATTGCATGTTTAACCGAACTACTGAATAATCGTGTCCACATAATAAATTCTGAAAACCCAATTCTATTATGGAAGGCATAATTACTTACAAAACAAACTCCGTGGCCGAATTATACCGACCGAGCGACCGACGCTTGTGGGCGAAGTTAGTGCCAACTTCTGCGAATAGAGGGTCTCACGTGGTCAGCGCAACGAATGCCAACGGCCGTTAATTTCAGTTTTCTAGAACGGAGCCGCTATTCCTCCAAATAGCTCCTCAATTATCCTCACGAAGTATGAGTGGACCCCGTTCCAGACCAACTAATTCTAAAAAAATCTGGTAGCGCTGGGAATCGAACCCGAAACCTCGGGATCTGTACCCACGAACTCTGGCCACTGGACCACAGAGGCGGTTTGCATAATTACTTACTCTCGTATTAAAGGTTACTTAACAGATCTCTGTGGAGTCCGCTAAATATGAAAGGCGCTAAATTTTAGCATTATAGGTCTATCTACCACAGCTCAAATTAACAGTCTCTGCCTCTGCCCCCTGTCTGCCACTCTTTCATAATTTACCTGACGATGGAATCACAGCCAGCATCCGAAACGTTAGGCCTTTTAATGACACGACACGATGGAAAATCTGAAACGTATATGCTAGTTTACTAACACACTTTCATCACAGATATTTAGTCATTTATTTACTGTATTTATGTGTTTCATATCATATCACTGTATATATCTATTCGCGATAAATCTAATCGGATATTTTGTCAAAGCATTCTGTCTAATTTCTTCACCGTAAAAATACATATAGAAACCAAACAGTGAAATGAATTTAAGAGAGTAACAAACCATGGCTAACACAATCGTACAGAATTCTTGAGAAGTTCATTTTCTTTCAGCGGGTCAAGAAATTCCACAATCGTCAGAGTTACTAGGTTTTTGGACCTTTTCCATCGTCTGGTACTCCTGAAATTATAGAACACGACGTTTCGGAAAATGGGTCTGTTTCACTGGACCAGTGATTGAGGTTAACTCTTCCTAGGGGACCCAACCGAGTAGGTGTCTTCACCTCAACCATCTCCCGAGGACGGAAACAGATCTAGTTTCCGAAAAATTGTGTTTTCAAGTTTCTAGAATACCGGACGATGGACAAAGTCCAAAAACCCAGTGATTCTGAGCGTCATACACCATCGTCAGAATCCTTCAGGATCTACTGTTCATAATTGTGTTCACAACAGCTCAAAATTGGAAATTACACGGATCCAGACGAATTAAGTCCACATCCTTGTAAGCTGTTTCTTTAACACAAATGTTATCTACGTCTGACCCTCCCAAGTGGCCCTTTGTCTTCAGATTTTCCGCCTGGATTTTGCATAAAGATATTTCTCATCGCCACCATACGTGCTACATGGCCCACTTCTTCCATCCTCCTTCATTTGATAACCGTAATAATATATGGTGTAGAGCTGAAATTGTCAAGACCTTCATTACGAAAGCTTATTCATCCTCTCGTTATTTCTTCAGCACTTTATTTCTTAAACACCCTCACTGTATGTCTCCCTCAGGCAATGAACCACGTTTCACACCCCTATAGAAGAGTACATACAATTATACGTTTATATAGTTGTAAATATGAGATGGGACGATAAAAGATTCTGAAATGAACTGTGGAAAACATTTCCCGAATTTCATCTGCATGTATCTTCTCTGAACATATCTTGATAGGTTATTTTAGTTCGAAAATATTTCTGACGATCCATTCATTCATTCATTATTGGAGGGGGTGGGTTTCCCCATGCACCGCGACCAGTTGTTGATCTATTGTACGTCCCCCTTTGATATTCTACCAGTCGCCATATCCTTCCGGAACTGGTGCTTGCTATCAGCCCCGCTCAGCCACCGAGTTCGGCCCCTCTACTGGCAATGGTACCCGATACTTCCCCCATCTACCAGAGGCATTGGAAACTACTTGGGCGGGAAACTTTTACGTGCAGTAAAGTTACGACACGGGACCCACGGCTTAAAGTCCCTCCCGGAGGACTTGATCCCTGAATTTTTCCGCCCTTAAAAATTCTACAACCTCCGCCGGGTTTGAACCCGCGTACCTTGAGTCATGAGGTGAGAACGTTACCCCTAGACTACGGAGGCCGCTTTTCTGACGATTCTATATACAAAACTTTATAAGCGGTTTATATTGTGAGTCAACGAAAGTATGTATGGAAGTGCTACCACGTATTTGAAATCTAGCGTTGCCTTAATGTCGGGAGAAGTAAAACTTCAGCGACCATATCTACACAATAGCTGCGAAATTGATATATTTGGGTTAACCTCATCTGAACATGTTATGTCGTGCTATACTATAAAGCTGAGTCACGAACGAGCAAGCAGTCTTGTGTTTCCACATAGACATGATGCTTCTATTGCTGACAACATTTTGATGTGGATAAGCGTAATTAGCATTTAACATGGTGAATCAGTTCATGTACATATGTACATACTTTCATATCAAGGGCATGGAAGATGTTCTTCGGACTAATTTATTAAAATTGCGTACAGCTTCTCCCACACAGTCTCAATTCGTGGCGTGAGAGCAAATTCTCTTTCGTATCATCTTCACTCGAACATGGAAATAGATTCAATTTCCAAAACGCACTGGTTTCAATGAACATGGACGAGGGACAGACGGACACAGTTTCAGTCAATTGCAGATATGCCCACGCGCTCTTCAGACATGTCCTTACTTATTGGCTCAGCAACAATGTTACAATTTAATATGCTTAAGTCTAAGTTATGTTACCGTTTCTTATAACAGGCCTCTAGAATTTACTCTTTAGTCCAAACAGTTTCATTCGCAGTAAAATTGGTATATTTATTTATTTATTTATTTTGTGACGAATTACTTCCTCAAATATAATTCCTACATTAATACGGTATTTCAATTTTCCGTTATTTCAACGGGACGCTTTCTCGTGTATTTTAAATTTTATTATTAACATTGTTATATAATTAATATCCGGAAAGAAAGGACAACGTATGTTAAGCATCCCCTTTCCGCCGCCCCATAGCTCAAGCGGTTAGTCGCTAGCTTCCCACCGCAGCGGCCCGGGTTCGATCCCGGGTCTGGTCAAGTAGGATTTATGGTGGACAAAGTGACGCTGGGGCAGGTTTTCTCCGAGTACTACGGGTTCCCCTGCCAATCTTCATTCCACCAATTGCTCCACAATCACCCTCACCTATCATCTGGGGCTGGTACAATAGGCCAGAAGTGGCGCAGTACAAGGGACTTAGTCCCACCCCACTAGCAATAAAAAAAAAGCATCACCTTTTAATTGATGGAATATTCAACTGCAAATACCGTGTTTAGCCCTACCGCTCTCTTCTGTTCCCTTTTAACGGACAACGTAAGTCGTTGTTACACGGACTCGAGGGAGAGAGAGAGATAGAGATAGAGAGAGAATACTTTGGGTTCTGACTGGAATTTGAACATTCACTGCCATCTATCATCTTCAAAGAATACTAACTGTAAGTCCCGAGCGTCGGCTGCGTAAGCTTCATCAGAATGAGCCGCCGTAACCCTGAAGAAATAGGACGAGAAAAGGAAAATACGAATGGCGCCCTTAGTGCGCCGGCGCCGGTGGATGGGAAATGGTTAGAATTATTATTCTCACTTTCCCTTTTGTCTATATATATTACAATCATTACATTTCCGCCCTTGATTCTGTGTACTAATTAGAGCGGCTTTAACAAACCAGACGAACAAAGTACAAAACAATAATTTTCAACAATACGTCACATCATCATTAAGGATTAATAAGTTTGGTTTATGTATGTGTAAATACTGTTGAACGGTAACAGCATTGGGAATACAACCTGTATAAAAGTCGTAGTATTTCTTCACGTTCGCCCAGTCCTTACAAAGCATTTCTCTTCCCTATGAAGGTGTACAGTTACAAATTACTCTGCATATAGCTCAGCAGTTATTCAGTGCGACTTCAGTTCGTTCCAAGTCTTACTGTCGCAAGAGTAGGTGACTGAAGTTATCAAATTTATTCATTAATAAGAATGGCAGAAAACAGAGACAAAATATGTTTAGGAAAGGAAGCTCCATTATGTTACTTATTGACAAAATTGTTGTTATACGGAAAATAGTCGACACATCAGCAATTTCAGAAAATATAAATACTATTGGCCTAATTTAAAAAGAAAACTTATTATCAGTATTATTACTCACTTACTTACTTACTCATGGAGTTGAGACCTTCTGGAGGAGCCGTCAATTCTGCAGCTACTCAAGAATTTCCCAGCATTTTATGGAACCCGAAGGTTCATTCCCGTGTTCACAAGAGCCCTCCTCTGGTCCCTATCCTGAGCCACATCAATCCAATCCATACAATCCAATCCTGTCTCTCTAAGATCCATTTTAATACAGAAAGAAATCAGGAACCTGTCACGCTACACTAACATACGTTACACGAAATTATATATTAATGAGATTCATGAGGGTTATATAACGACTTTCTCGATTACGCTCTTGTGTTTCGGTTATATGAATGAAGACTGTTCACTCCACCTTCGTCCTCACTGTGGTCTGCGTTTCTTCTTACACCGACAAAGCTGTTTCGTATTTTTCTTCTCCTACAGTAGCCAATATTTTGGGTTTATTTGTTTATCTTCTTTAACCCTTTAGAGCATACTTACTTACTTACTTACTTACTCATGGAGCTGAGCCCTTCTTGAGGAGCCGCCAATTGTGCAGCTACTCAAGAATTTCCCAGCATTCTATGGAACTCGAAGGTTCCTTACCGTGTTCACTAGAGCCCTCCACTGGTCCCTATCCTGAGCCAGATCAATCCAATCCATACCATCCCATCCTATTTCTCTTAACATCCGTTTTAATATTGTCCACCCACCTTCGCCTTGGTCTTCCCTGTGGTCTCTTTCCTTCTGGCTTTCCCAGCAATATCCTATACGCATTCTTCTCCCCCATTCGTTCTACATGCCCTGCCCACCTCATCCTCGACTTGATCATTCTAATTATACTTGGAGAAGAGTACAAGTTATGAAGCTCCTCATTATGCAGTTTTCTCCAANNNNACTTCATCCTTTCTCGGGCCAAATATTCTCCTCAACACCCTCAGTCTATGTTCCCCCCTTAATGTCAGAGACCAAGTTTCACACCCATACAGAACCACAGGCAAAATTATAGTTTTGTATATTCTGATTTTTGTTTTTGGACAGCAGATNAATAAAATTCTAAAATATGCATTTATATGCACAATAAAAATGACATAATTTCAATAAGAATGACTGGAAACATGCATAATTACATTTAAAAATAGGAATAAACCCTAGGAAAAAAATATGACATGTCATAGAAATCCGGGCCCTAATAATAACTGTATTTTAAAAAGTTAAAACAGAACTTTCATTGATTGGCCTATTGTACCTGCCCCGGGTGATTATGATGATGGAGAATTTGGTGGAATGAAGATTGGCAGGGGAAACCGAAGTACTCGAACAAAACCTGCCCCAGCGCCATTTTGTCCACCACAAATCCCACTTGACCAGACCCGGGTTCCAACCCGGGGCGCCGCGGTGGGAAGCCAGCGTCTAACCGCCTGAGCTATGGCGCGGCCCACATGCGACTTAGTTAACCGCCTACTCTTCAGGAATACGCTGCCTTCTTACTGATAATTTCTAGAAGACGTCTGAAAAAAAAAGAGGCGTTAAATCAATATACTTCGCTCCACGTGGTCCGTGTTACGCGTTTCCTATATAGAGTGAAGAATACAGTGTTCGGCTAGCTTGGCCGTGCTCCAAAGAGTGTAATGGTGATAAACACAGACACTGAAGCGATGTCGACAGCTGACATGGACATATATATATATATATCCATGTGCACTAGAGAAATTCGGGAATAAACAACAGAATCCTAGCCGATCCCAATCCACAGTGCGTTGTTGTTGTTGCTATGAAACGTAATGGCAGTTCTCACAGCAAACCCAGCTACAGGCTGAGCGCTTGAGCGCTTAAGGAGCGACTGGAGATTGTACCTCCGCGTCAATGCTCACAATTCTGTAGACACACGTTGCAGAACGTATACTTAACATGGTTTCGCTAGAAGCTTTGGCCACCGCTAAATCGAGGAGAAAATATGGGGCACAAGATTTTGACACAGAAACTGTACATACTCGTATATATATGCAGGCCTATATGTATGACAAAACAAAGCAACAAACAGTATCCGTGGCCTGTAGTCCGCAAGTGAACTATACCGACCGAGCGACCGCCGCTTGTCGGCGAAGTTAGTGACAAATTTTGCGGATAGGGGGTGTCACGTGATCAGCGCAACGGATCCCCACGGCCGTTAATCTCGGTTTTCTAGACCAGAACCGCTATTTTCTTGAAATAGCTCCACAATTATCAGTTTTTCACAAACAATTTAAGCCCATCGCAGCCCATCTCTTACATTCAATGCTGACTCTGTTTGAATGAAATCAGTTCCATGCAGTTTCGTCATACTCTGTCTTGTTTCTTGTGCACAAGGCTCTGACACGGTACAGACTCATCTGTAGAGGCCCAGAACTACATTTTCACGCATGCTTCGCCGTGAACCACGCGCTACGCATGACACAACTGCTCGTCCAGGGATCCCGTTGAATAGCAATTCTTCCTCATAATAATCGCATTGCAACGATCGAAAAGGCATCCTTGTATTACGAATTTCAAGGTTTCATACATGGAAGCACATCCGCTTAATGAACAGAAAATCTTAAATCAAAACAGCTGTGGCGCCTGCACTGCATATAGACCAACATTTCTCTTCTTTCTCTATGGCACTGCAGCCCTTTGGGACTTGGCCTCTTTTTTCAGTGTGTTAATCCTATACACAGTCGGTAGGACTCCTTGGACGGTGGATCAGCCCCGTCGCAAAGCCACTGTCTACACACAGAACAATACAAACACAGAATAAACGCACATAGATATTCATGCCTCAAATGGGATTCGAACCCACGATCCCAGTGTTTGAGTGGGCGAAGACGGTTCATGCCTTACACGTCACGGTCACTGTGATCGATTATAGATCTATATAAACGCCTGATATTCATGTGTTTCAAAATTCCCCGGGCCAAACAAGAGAGATAAGGAAGATATCTGTTCAATTACTGATATCTGTCGTTTGATAAACGCTTCTGAAAGGAAACAAGACACGACGCCACATATCAACATCTTTTTAGCATTAAATTTAACGTGTAAGCTGTCCATATTTTCGACATTTTACATACAACCATGTAGACAGTACAGGGTATGGGATACAGAAAGCAAAACTTCTTTGTAAGACCAATAAGCGTTCATATGTGAAGTCGTATGTATGTATAGTAACAACGCGATTCCACGCTTGTACACTGACAGATGTATAGCGTGACATATTTAAATTATTTAATTAATTTCTAATTAAAAATGTCAGTCCATTTACAACCACATGCTGACTCACTTAACTGCTTAACATAAGCATTCTAAAATTGTAAAGTGTGTTTCAGAGTGGCAAATAGAAAATTAATGTAGAGATATTGGACTTTATCCATCGTCATGGTTTTAAGATAACTAAGAAAAACACGACGTTTCGGAAACTCGATCTCTTTCCGTCCTCAGGTGAGGGAAAACACCTGTTCTGTTGGGTCCCTTAGAAAGAGCCAGCCTCAATCACTGGAATTAACTACATTCAGGAAGAACTGTCTTTGCTTGTGAGCGCTGTTCCTGGAGCCCGTTTGCTAACTGAATTCCATTATGTATATTGTAGTGCACTTGCGTCTATTACCCCCTGCTCTCCTTGTTATGCTTCATACTTTATCTTAAAAATGGTAGCAACGACATACTTATTAAAAATATTGTGGCGTATTTGCCCCATGCAAGAACGGTTGAGCCACAGAAACAGGCGTTTCTAAGCAATACACGCACGCGACAATGGAACAATGGGGTTATGCAACTCGCTTCTAGGCAACGACTCGATAAACACACTTCCGCGCAAGCGCAATGATGTCACACTCCAACAGTACTTAGCTATCACGTGACTTGTATTCTGTGTGGTCTGCAATAGAACTGTTTTCTGTGTTGTCCGTGCCGCGGCTATATAACACGAGTCCGCTTGCATACCTCCACCGTGACCCTGCGAGTCGTAGGAGGTGATGAAAAGGGAAGTCCCAAATCTGAGACAGTAAAATATGGTCGTGAGTCCCAAGGGACTGGCAGGACCCAGTGGCATATACAAAAGTCACACCCGTCCTCTTGTCAGACAGGCCGCCCTACAAAACAAGAACGTAACTGTCAAACAGTAATAAATATCTGGTCATGAGCCCCAGATGGGGCTCGACACCAAGACTTACTGACTGATTGACCATCAGTCGCAATGCGACTTGGACTTGGCGTCCAGGAGAGTTTTGAGTTAAGTTCTGATGTTCCAGGGCGATTGAAGAAGAAATGGCAAAAAGATTTCATAGTGACTGAAATGCAAGTTTCTGTGTTCAGATCCGTTGCCAGGAGACGACTAGTGAAGACGGAGGATCATTATGCGTGTGCAACGGTGAACTGGGAAGTGTGTAAATCAGCCATAGCGCTGTACTGGTTGTAATTAAGAGAAACTGTAACCAAGATGCTAATAAATCCAATCATTCGAACTAGAGCCCGTCATTTTTGTCACGCGTACCCCCCCCTACACGTGACACTGAAAGATAAGTTTTGATTTTATTACGAATTGATTAGAAACGGCATGTGTTAAATAATTTTGGAAAAGTGAATGTAAAAGATCACTCTAGAGACCTAAACATAGATGCTAGGTTCGTATTAAGACGGATTTTAACGAAACTCGATCTGAAATTGCTGACTGTAATGAAATGGCCTAGTAGAGGATACAATGACGAACTTCTCTGAACACGAACTAAACCTTCGGGTTCTACAAAAGTAAGAAAATTTCTATGTCAGCTGAGGCACCATCATCTTTCGACGGTGCTGGTCTGTAAAGTGCCATATATTTTACAAACAATACTTCCATATTTTATGTTAACTTCATCAGTCTCTTCATTAATCTCTTTGACGTCAGAGATGTTGTTGATTGTGATAACAAAGACGTTTATGTAGTAAAGTATTTTTGGATAAAGTTATTTGTACCAGCATCTATTATATTATTTTCCACGATTACAATTTAAATGCCAGTGATAGACTAGACTGGGATTCTACAGCTCTGAAAGTTATCACATCAGGTTGATTTCTAATTTCGGTAATTTAAGTAGTTTAAATGTACGAGTAAATTGACATCAGGGAAGAAGCTGCAATTTTTCTTGTTGGAATTTGCACGGTTCTTCATTAATTCACGTGAAACTGATATGACTCGGAGGCATCCGTGCTAAAACTATTATACACTCTCCTACAAACTAAGCTATGTTTTACGGTGTATACAAAATTTAAACGCATTTTTCATCATTATTCTATATTTTGTGAAATTAAAGATATTTAATATGTATACGTTTTAAAATTTCGTTGAAAATCTGTCACGGGACTGGGTTAAATATATTTTTACAGACGTTTACGGAAGACATTACGTATGTAAGTGTCTCGTCATCTGAATGCAAGGCGAAACCACACAGGAAAGGCAGCTAATTAACCCTTCCGATGTGTCTGTAAAGTATACAAATAGCCTATGCTGGAAATATAGTAATAAATACAATTTACATTCACGAAGAAATGAGGAGCTGGTAAAATTCTGTTCAAAATATTTTCCCTTCACTGTCTGTAAAGTATACAAATAGCCTATGCTGGAAATATAGTAATAAATACAATTTACATTCACGAAGAAATGAGGAGCTGGTAAAATTCTGTTCAAAATATTTTCCCTTCACGCATGTAACTTAAAATACTACAATTTTACCTAGGTATCACGCACACAGTGCCGGTCACGGTAGCCGAGCGGTCTAAGGCATGCACTGTCTTCGCTCGCTCGGAAGCCGGGATCATGGGTTCGAATCCTACTCAGGGCATGGATGTTTGTGTGCGTTTTTCTGTGTTTGTCTACGGGTAGAGTCCTTGCGACGAGCTAATCACTCGCCCAAGGAGTCCTACCGTATGTGTAAGATCTAGAAAAACCGAAGTGAACGGAGTTCATGAAGTTAGGTCTAGGCTCAATGGGGCTGTAGTGCCAAGGAAAAAATCAAGCACACAGAATAATGGGGCTACAGTTAAAAGCGAAAAAGATATTTTATGCCACCGTTTCGAAGCCAAAGCTGCTTTTAGCTTAGTGACGGTGCTACATTGAGAATTTCTCTCATTCCTTTAGATATTTCTTAAGTCCTTAGCGCGAATGCATGTAGCCTACACAGCAAAAGAAAAGTGTCCTTCTTGTAAAATTGCAGTTGATGGAGTTCCTGGGTGCCTGATCAGCGCAATGGGTAGAGTGACTGGTTACGGGTTTGGCGGCTAAAAGGCCGGAGTTCGAGTTCCAGTATGGGAAAGATTTTTCTCTTCTCCAACCCGTTCACACAGCTTCCTATCCAAAGGGTACATGAGGTTCTTTCCCAGCGAGTAAAGCGGCCGGCACGTGAACCTGACCATTCACCTCCAACTGATGCCGAGGTCAAGAATACGTGGATCATACATCCACTCACCCATACATCTTCATGATTTAGTGCTTAATTAGTTAAGCACAGGGATAATTTTTTTTACATATTTTCCTAGCACGCGGTTTTAACTTTGAAGTTGTCACGGTAGTGTAAATTCATATTGTGGTATCTTGGGTCATGATACTCTGTAGTCCTGTAGCTGGGTATTAGCAGGCTACAGAGTGTCATAAAAGAAAATACGTTGCTTTCCATGCAATACGGACAGTTCTTCTTAATGATGAGGCAGCATTACACAATTCATTAATTGCTACACCATGGGCCTCTCTTAAAATCTTCTATATAAAGTAATATCGAATTTCTCTATTGTCTACGGAAACGCACACAAGGTATGTACAACGACTGATTCAATGTTTTTGAAAACATCATAAATATTTTTTCTTGTTATAATACTTCCAATTTTTAATTCTTATATAATCTGAACTTTTGTATTTTTTACATAAGCATTTTCAAATTTGTACGATTAATAGTGTTATATCATATTTAAGATTGCAGTTAAATGGTAGATTTTTGTTGATATGTATTTGCCTGATGATGGCCGATAGTGGCCGAAACATGTAGCAAAGCCACAGCTGAACGCCGACTTTGATGTTATACTGTTTGCTGTGTTGTGACGGTTCATTAAAGAGTTGTACTACAATGAAGTTTTACCTGTTAGAAAAGTTGTGAGTGTGAAACATATCCCTCACACTGAGGGTGTCGGAAAACAAGCTGCTGAGGACGTTACTTGGAGCCAAGCGGAGAAACATAAAAAATGAAAAATGTTCATATTTAGAACTTTCAAAACTGTACTATTCATAGATCATAGCAAGGACTGTACGGGTCCATCCGGCTCCACAAAAGGCGGGTAACTTCTTCAACAGCTGCTCAAGACGGACTCTGGACCATCGAGTTAGCGAATAAAATGCTTATCCATACTGTGAATTCTGCATTGTCAGACATGAGACATTTGCGGCCGACCTGTCTCCGACTTCATGGAGACGATGAGGGATTTTAAGACAAGTGATGATATTTTGGACTGAAAATCGAAGTGAAAGTCACGTGTGTGCATAGAGCAATGCCTTTAGCCTGTTGCTTTTTATGCATCCGCGAGGACCTACACACTAGTGGACGCCTGAATAAGTCGTCTGTTATATAACAATGCCGTTTCAACTCACTTTCGGGTAATACCTGCTAACATTCAGCTCAGAACGTTTTGTCTTCTCGTCTGCTGTCTAAAAACGAAAAATTAGAATATATAAAACTATAATTTTGCCTATGGGTGTGAAACTTGGTCTCTGACATCAAGGGAGGAACATAGATTGAGGGTGTTTGAGAACAGGGTGTTGAGGAGAATATTTGGACCGAAGAGGGATGAAGTGACAAGAGGTTGGAGAAAACTGCATAATGAGGAGCTTCATAACTTGTACTCTTCTCCAAGTATAATTAGAATGAACAAATCAAGGACGATGAGATGGGCAGGGTATATGGCACGAATGGAGAAGAGGACGGCATATAGGATATTGGTTGGAAAGCCAGAAGGAAGGAGATCACCAGGAAGACAAAGACGTCGGTGGGTGGACAATATGAAAATGGATCTTACAGAAACACAGTGGGGTGTTATGGACTGGAATGATGTGGCTCAGGATGGAGACCAGTGTAGAGCTCCTGTGAGTGAAAAAGGTAATACACCTTCGGGTTTCGTAAAATGCTGGGAAATTCTTGAGTAGCTGCACAATTGGCGGCTCCTCCAGAAGGGCTCGGTTCAGTGAATTAGTTAGTTAGTTAGTTACTTGATTACTTAGACTTCAACTGCATATATGTGTCAACTGTTTACGTAGAATGTCTCTATGGATAACGAATTGAAAAGGATCTATATGCAAGCGGTCGTGGCCTGCTTTACAAAGTTTTATAATCCTCTGGATAGACTGAGGGACACAAAAAGACGGGCACGATAGCCTCCGGCCCAAGATTCTAATCTTTGACATTCAGAATACGAAACAAGGGTTATAATTGCTGGAATACAAATTTCGATGTAAACGTTTTTCCCTTTTCTTGGGTTATTTATGCTGCTGTCAGTACATACAAGTATACAGCTTCGAATGATAGAAACACACATGAATGAAAAACGTGGTAGGATTTGGAAGAAAACAACAGTGGGCTAACAGCGACACTATTCTGGCCTATGTATGAAGGGACTGAAGGAAACCACGAAAAGTCTCAGTCAGAATAGCTGTTGTCATAGCCATGATTCAAGTTGACAAACTTCGTGGATGGTTACAGCTAAGTCAACTCGTTGGACATAAGCATTTTGTTGAAAGTAAACATGAAGGGGGAATTCCAATTAAAAGTCGTTGAAATTCGATAATATTATTAACAATCAAATTTAACAAAATTTAGAATCCGGCGAAATTAACTGTTTATGAAACTTAGGAGTGCGAGAATAATTTGGGGATATTTGGTGACTCGTCATTTTCGTAAAAATATGAGTTACTGAAAATTAAGCATTCGCGATGTATTTGCCTGGAACAAGAGAAGTAGGACGCGAACAACTTCAATCACGGTATCAGATTCAAGCTATTTTTTTTTAATTCGCATAGTGGGGGGGGGGAGTCCATCTGGGTCCACTCGTCACGTCGGCTTATGATGGAGAATTTGGTGGAATGAAGATTGACAGGGGAAACAGAAGTACTCGGAGAAAACCTGCTCCAGTGCCACTTTGTCCACCACAAATTCCACCTGACCAGACCCGGGATCGAACCCAGGCCGCTGCGGTGGGGAGCCAGCGACTAACCGCTTGAGCTATGGCGCGGCCCGGATTCAAACTATATATTTCCTTCAGTTCCAGTACGTACAATAACACGCACAGCATGCTTTAAAATAGCATTTGATATGCTTTGTAATATTTAGCAGGCACGCG